CCTGCATGTGTGTGCAGAGTCCGAAGACGTGTTTGTGACGGCTTGGGTGCCAACCTGCAAGGAGGTAGATGGACCGACCTATGGGATGCCGACCTTAGTGATTGGAGTGGCCTTATGGCCACCATTGTTTACATGCAATATATGTGCGCATTTGATCTACGATTGTGTTGTTGGTTGTGTGCTCTTTGGGGGATGGCATTTGAGCTGCCTCGAGCTGAGTGAATAATATGCAATGCAATTGGAGTGACTTTAGGGTCACTCTTATCAGTGGGTTCGGGTCCTAAAAGTTCTAGAGTGGACGCGAGACTCGGGGTGGCTTTTTGTTTGCCCTGAGAAGACGAACCAACGGCTAGGCCATTAGTCGTGGTGGGTGTTAAAGTGTGTCGAGCGACCTTGTGGTCCTTCAATTGAGTTGGGTCAACGATTGAACCGCCAGCTTGGGATGTGTGAGATGCGATGTTGGCAAGAAGAGTTGAGGGTGACCTTCTTGGTACCTGTAGAAGCAACATCTTTAAAAGAGCCTATTGCGAGAAGAGGGGGAGTGGCCTTAAGGCCGCTCTTAAACTTGAGACTGGTGGAGGATCCACCAGTATCTGTGTGAGCATGAGAAGTGGTGGTTTTAGAACCACCTATGCATTGGCGACAACGGACTGACCATTGGTGTCGGTAGAGGGGGAGTAAGGGGTTTGAGAGCCCCTTCTCGCCTTAGGTTGGGCCGAAGCCCAAATGCGAGTGGTATGGTTGCTTCGCAAAAGAAGGGAGGGAGATGTAGGTTGAGAAACCTTACCCCCAAGGGACGTGTTCACGGATGAGGGGATCACGAAGCCCCCAATCCGGAACTAGAACGAGTTAGTAAACTCAAAAGCCTTTTTTTTTTTTTTTTAAAGTGTGGATTAAGTGCTGTGTAGGTTTGCGAGCAAACCAAACCAACGATAGGGTGGCGCTTCCCTAGTGGAGTCGCCAATTGGTTGGGCTTGGATGTACTTCGCTGGGGTCTCTCGGGGACCCAGGCTCGATGAACCTCCTCTCAAACAACCGCTCGACCTGTGCGCGTGTGTGCGCCTCGCGTGCTGCTTGCGGATAGGTATTTCCAATAGTGAGAGGACTTTAAAGCAATTAAGAGGTGGACTCAAACACCTACCTCACCGCGGTTGAGTTCGTGGGATACGCCCAGGCTGTAGCCCTTTTAGATCAATGACAAAAGCCCTCTGGCTGTCCAGCAGTGCGGTTTTAATTCGGCCCCTTTTAAATCAACACCTTATTAGAACTCTCACGAAAAGACTGCTAATAAAAATCCACTTATAATAAACTCCTCTTTTATGCGCTTGTGGGTTAGGAATTCTAGTTTTGTGGGTAGAGTGATAGGAAAGTTAGGTAAGAAATAGAAGAAAGAAAAGAGTAAGAGTAGATTGATGAGAGAAGAAAGAAAAGAGTAAGAGTAGATTGATGAGAGTTTGGTTTAAAGGTAAGAAGAAGTAGAGATGAGATTTAAGAAGTGAAGGAATGACCCATAAATCGGGCAGCCTCCTGTCGTAACCTCTCCTAAGAGGTATTATTGGAGACAAAGGAAAGCACCAGGCTCAAAGCCTTGGATCTCAAAGGATTTGGAAAGTGGTGTTACGGGAATTCGCCCGTAACTATGTCATAAACCCAGAGAGCCCCCTAAAAGTAATCAAGGGAGAGACGAGAAGAGAGTGAAATAGAGTGACAGCAGATAGAAAATCTCTCACAGCTCGAACACTGTGCGACTTGGTGGTTAGAGTAGTAAAGGGTTAAAACTCTAACAAAAGCTATCTCAGGATGACCCCAGTCCAAATGATCGAGCGTAAGAGAATCATTGTCTCGTACGACTCAACAACACTATGTGAACTGATGGTTAGAGTAGCAGTTCAAATGTTAGAACCCTAAGGCACTATCTCAGGACGACCTTGACTCGAGTGCTCAAGAGAGAGAAGAGATGAGTAAAGAGGGAGAATGATAAAACAAAATGTGATGAATGAGGGTATGAGTTAGAGAGAGAAAGTAAGAAGAGTTAAAGGGGTAAAGGGATAATGGACCCGCCTATGGCATGGGTCCATACACCTTGGAGGGAAGTAGAGGTGAGAGAGGATGAGAGATGATGAGAGTAGAGGGGACCCACCTTTGGTGTGGGTCCATGTACTTTGGGGGAGATGGGAATGAGAGAGTAGAAGAAATGTGGGTGGAGGAGATGGACCCGCCTTAAGTGCAGGTTTGGGACTTGGTGGGATGAGGAGGGTGAGAGATGATGAGAGTGTAGAGGGGGGAGAGATGGACTCGCCTATGGCGCAGGTTCATCAACTAATGGGAGAGGAGGGTGGGAGAGTAAGGGAAAGAGAGAGAGGGAGAAGCGGACCTGCTTAGGGCATGGATTTGTGACCTAGATGAGAGGGGAGAGAGAGAGTAAGAGAGAAATAGAGAGGGAGAAGCTGGCCCCCTAGGTGCATGTCTGTGGCTTTAGACGAGAGAGAGGGAGAGAGAGAAAGATAACAAAGATAGAGAAGAGGGAGGGGCCAGCTCGGACCTGCCTTAGGTTTGAGTTAAGAGAGAGAGGGAGAGAGCGAAGGCTCGGACCTGCCTTGTGTTTGAGTGGAAGAGAGAGAGAGAGAGGAGAAGAGGGAAAAGGAGATAGAGAAGAGAGAGAAAGAAGAAAAGACAGGAGAGAGAAGGCTCGGACCTACCTTGGGTCCTAGTGGAAGAGAGAGAGGAGAGGAGAGAGGAGAGGGAGAGAGGAAAGAGAGTGAACCTAGAATGGGCTTAAGCCTAGGTGCACCTTCAAAGGTCCCTTGCATGCACTTTAGAGAGAGGTCTTGGTCTTTGTGGCTCAAGGCTAGGGTCTAGGCTTTAGGTGTATCGGCTTAAAGGTATAGTGTATGGAAACTAGGGTGTATAGGTGCCAAGGTGTATTGGTGTAAGTAAGCGTATGGGATAAGGTAGGGTGTAGGAAAGCTAAGGTGTATGGGGTGCTATGGTGTATGTTGAGAGTTGGGAATCCTAGGGTGTATGGGAGCTAGAGTGTATGGGATAGGATTGGAAGTTGGGAATCCTAGGGAAGTTAGAATTTTGGAGTTCTAAGGAGTGAAGGGTTTCTAAGGGTATTTTCTCTCTCTAGGAATTGTATGTCTGTCCTCTCTCCTTGAGTCTTGGGTTTGAAATCAAAGCAAAAGAAGAAGCTTAAGCTCTTAGAATTCTCAAGCTCTTCTCATTAATTTCCAAAGCTCCCGAGAGTCTCATTACAAATGACTACACTTTGCTTATATAGAGCAACCCCAAAACATGGGTGGGTACTCAAAAACCTCTAGAATTGTTGAAAATTACACATTTAATGAATAAAAATATTAATCCCCTTTTTAGAATTAATGACCAAAATACCCTTAAGCACTTCTTATGAATTGACAAAACCATCCCTCCATGAGGGGCCTTTTGCCATTGCAAGGCCTTGAGAGCTTTTTGGACGTTTGCGGTGGTAATTCAAGCGATCAAACATCGTAGAATCGATGCTTGGATTGTTACACATGATTTGATACTCATTGATCATCATGGAACGGAGTTTTAAGGAAGAACCCAAACTTCGGCTTGGTTGATAAACTTGTGATTCTTTGACCACCGATTTGGCACAATCTGTGATGTTCCGAGACTCCATTTTGATCACAAATTGAAGAGGATACTATCACAATTATTTTGTGATAAATTTCGTCCATTTTGGTCTCCGTTTGAGCGCGTTCAAATTTTGGGAGGTCGTTAGAAAATGGGATTCCGGCGACTGGAAAAGTATGCCTCTTCAACCTCTAAATTCGGTTTCATCTGGCCTCCGATCACACACAAAAATCATATCAAACTGAAGCTCTTCGAAGTACGATCGTAATGGACCCATACTTGCAACGATCCGACATCGGGATCTTGAGCTATTGCCTCTCAAAGAATGAGATGTTCCTTTTTTTAAAATCTGTTTTTTCATGTTTCAAGCTCATCTTCTCTCTAACAATTTTCTCGTTTTGGGTGATGCTATGATGCGTGCTATATGTCAAAACAAGTGTATTGTCAGAATCTAGCTCGTGTCCGAATTTAAGCTTAATTGGACCCAAAATGAGCAAATTCTGAGCAATTGAAATTCATCCTGAAATGAGAAAGCATATTTTTCATAACTGGAAACTGGTTCACCGAGGCTGCACTGCAATAGTGTAAAACCCACTATTTTTTGGTAAGTTAGGCCCATAATAGTCCTAGAAAGTCCGATTGAGCCGAAATTTGGTACTTGGGGTTTTTTCGACGTTTTCGATCCTATGGCGGTGTCCTGATACTCTTTTGAGACCCAGAAATGGGGCTGTAGTTATATGATCTATTTTCAACATGATAGGAACTAGATTTGACAATTGAGCTTCGTCTTGATCGGCTCAAAACTTGTTAGAATGCGACAAAACTTTACGTGTGTCCTTAGGGCATTCAACACTACCTTCTCATGCAATTTGAGGCCATTCTGACATTCATTCAGAGGTTGCCCAATACCAGGCTTATTGCTACAGTGTTCCCGTGGTCTGGTGGCGTCTTGGGCACCGACTGGACCAGGTTACTACCGTCTCTCTTCTTATGCGTCCCGAGGATACAAGTACGTCAAAAATGACGTATAACAGTGGCATTTGCTATCTGTTATTCTTTCTGTTAACATAGCTGCTGCTCCAATTTCTGGAGTTCTGGAAGTTCTATAATTGCAAGTGCAACTATTTATGAACCAATTATGTCCATTGCGATTTTCCCTTAATTTCTTTCTCCATTTATACAAATAATATGACTTAGATGACAAAATCATGTACTCTTAAGCTATTTTGTTTTAGTTCTAATATCATTATCAGATTGCCACCTTAACCTTTTTATTCCTTTTCCTTTTTTTTGACAATAAATCTTATGTATCGTGTTTAAAGAAATTAAATAGATTTTTAAAGAAATTAAATAGATTGACTTTTTCTTCCATTTCCCATTTGCAGATACATGGGTACTATAACTGGTATTTGTGATATTGATGCTATTCAGTGGCCAAATTCAAAGTGGCATAACCTTCAGGTGAGAATTTCATATTTATTTGTCCTGTAAAACTTTTCTTCTTCGCAAATAACAAACTCACACTTCATATTGTATGGCAGGGTTTCCAGACTATCATTTCTTATATATTACTTATTTCTTGTGATTAGGTAGAATGGGATGAACCTGAGGCTGGTGACAGGCAAAATAGGGTTAGTGTTTGGGAAATTGAAATTGCAGATTGTCCCTTTCTCTTATGTCCCCTGACCATGTCAGGTCTTAAGCGACCATATCAAGCTGACTTGATTTGTAAGTGCAGATGTTAATTACAAAAAGGATGTGTATATGGTTTTTAAATTCAGACTTCCCATTCTTGTTGCACTGGCAATAATTCTTGTTTTAGTTGATGATCAAATGTTCATTTCCATAAAACATGGATTCCATCTATGTAGCTTATATTATGGTTTATGAGATGCTCAGGTATGGATATAGGAAAACATTTTTTCTCTGTGAGAGGAAGTGAGAAGCATGTGTTTTCTCTGCGAGGGAGGGAGGGAGGGGGATATGATGTCTTCGACTTTACTTTATTTTTTCCGAGACACTTAGCACGGAATGGAGAAAATTTTTAGGATAATTTGTATTATCTAAGCAGGCATGAAGACATCTGGGATACACCACATAAAACAACAGGAGGAAACTTTTAACATAATTTTTATTATAGAAGCAAGCATAAAGACATCTGGGATACACTATATAAAACAACATGTTACTTCCAAAGAACTAACCAATATTTCCATTTTATAATCTACTTGCTTTCTGTTGTGTGAAATCAACATTACTTCTTTTTTGTAAATCGATATCCAAGTATGTAGCATAATTTGGTTACTTTCTGGTTCATCTTTTTGGTTTTGACAACTAAGTTGTGACTCTATCCCTGCCTTTGTACTAGAAATTTCGTGGAGCAAACATAAAAAATGCTACATTGAAGAGCTCTCTTCAAATATCCCTGTTAAATGAATAATTGATAGTCTTGAACTTTGTATCACCACTAAAATTCCACCAATTTTTGGGTGATTATCTTAAAGATGATCTAAGTGGTAATACTAACTGGAAGTCTTTGAAGCGTTGGGCTTTGAAATTAGATAATCATCCGAAATAGCCACTCATTTTCTGTCTTTTCTTTATTTTTCTTTAAGAGTGTTAATGAGCCAATGTCCTAGCTTTGTATAGAAATAGAATAAAGTTTGGAAGCTTCTCCTTGCTGTGATTGCTTGGAATAGATCATTGGCTTGACATGGTTTATTTTCTTAGCTTCAGCAGAAGAAACAGAAGGGAGTAGCATGGTGAAAAGATCTTCGTCCTGGTTCCGAGAAACTGACATTTCTGGTCTCCAGAACCCTGTAAATCTCAACATGAATATAGAACACCTCATGAAGATGCTTCGCAAACCACGAAGTGCACCAATGGCACAATTGGGGTCACAAGAACTTGGCAACATTGAGGACTTGATTTTGCACACTCCCTGCTTTCAATCTATCACTGGCTTCTTAAAATCATCAGGGCCCCAATTTGGATTAAATAAGCCTGATGCTTCCATCTTATCTTCATTGATCAGTTCAGATACTTCTATTCATGTCCCTGAAATAGGTAATACTGTAGACAAGTTACAGTTCCCATGTAACTCGAGTGCCGACTTTGTTGATGCTACCCAATATATCGAATCTTTAAGTCAAGAGTTATTTGGTCTTGCCGATCTCCCTAATGTGAAAAATGCATGCCAAACAGAGCAAAATGCATTGGAAAGTCAACAAAATGAATTAGAGAGTCAATTATCTAGAAGAGGTCTGATTTCTCTGCTAGTTGGCACCACAATCCCAAGCACTGTGAATTCTTGTGGACTTGGGGATTTTTCAGAGGAAAGCAATGAGCAAAGTGAGACATACAGTAATATTCAATTTGAAGGTAGTAATGGCAGCATTTTGATTGATTCTTCTATTTCAAGCTCGGGTTTAGAAGGCTTTGGCACCTTAAGGGCTCCTTCAGAAGGCTTATTGGGTGGTATAAGCTCAAGTTTAGATCTTCAATCTCAGGTCACTTCAACAAGTGGAGTAGACAATCAGTCCTTATCTATACTAGGGATGCCGGTCAATTCAGGAGCGACATCTTCAAGCAATGTGGAAATTAATGAGAATAGTTTCTTTCCAAGAAACTCGTGGCGACAGGTTACTCCTCAAATGAGAACATACACCAAGGTGATTGATTTGTTTGGTTCTTTATAAGATTTGGGTATTTTGGCTTGCTTAGTTATTGATAAATTTGTAGTGATTATTATGTTTCTTTTTTCTTGTGAGAGGTTCAGATTTTTTTTTTGGGTAAATTTGCAATGTTTGAATAACTTGGTTTAACAGGTCCAAAAGTTGGGATCTGTTGGAAGGTCTATTGATGTCACTCAGTTCAAAAACTATGAGGAGTTGACATTTGCAATCGCGTGTATGTTTGGACTCAAAGGAAAACTTGAAGACCCCAGGACTTCGAGCTGGAAGCTTGTGTATGTGGATTATGAGAATGATGTTCTTCTAGTTGGAGATGATCCATGGGAGTACGTCTCTCTCTCTCTCTCTCTCTCTGACACACACACAGATATGGACATACACGCGGCGATCTTTAGCCATGTTTTGATATTTTGTCACTACAATGAATTTGGCTGAACTTAGACCAATATATTGATTGCGTGATTGTTTATGGCTTTGGACTGAGGTCTCATTTTAGGGCAACTTTATGTACGCAGGGAGTTTGTTGCGTGTGTTAAATGCATCAGGATTTTATCCCCATCAGAAGTCCAGCAGATGAGCCAAGAGGGACTCCAACTCCTTAATAATTCTGCGAAGCTGGCTACTGGATCAGGAGACCATGTTTGGGATCGCCCTTGATTCTGGTTACCCTCTCACCCATGTTTGCAAGATTGTATAATTTGACTGTTTTGTCCTAGTGAGGAGCAAATTCCAGTGGTCATGGAGGAGGTTCTCTAGGGGTAGTTTGGTATTTTTGTACCTCCGTGCTCATGTGTAGAAGGGATTCTCTTGTGGCATCCAGGAGAAACTCTAACTTGGGTTTACTAATATATGGTTTTAATGCAAAAGGGAATTTGGTGTGATGCTTGTGAAGTGTGCATTTGATGCTGGTTATGAGAAGATTGAACATAGGTGATTCGTTTTCTGGACTTTGATCTAGCTTTGGGCTTCGATCGACTACTTTGGTTAGGAGGATCTCCTGCTTGTCTCCTCATTCAGCCAACTACTCATGACTTGACTTATTGTCACATTCCCTTCTGGTGTTATGTTGCTCAGGGTGATCACCAAGATCTCCGGTAGAGCCTGCAACTCATCTTCTGGGGTCATTTTCACCGTGGCGAGATAGTAAATGGTGTTTTGCATCTCATTCAAGTGCTTTAAAATAAGACCTCAATCCCTGAACTTTAGGTTCACTAACTTTTTGATCAATAACACCTTATTGCTGAGAGGCTTCTCTTGTACAAGTCCTATGGTTTGTCCATAGAAACTTGGCAGTTGTCTCACTTGGTACATTGTGGAAAATGACATCATCCACCCATTGTTAGATTGTTACGAGTGCTTTTTATTCCAATTTTATCCACTCTTCCACATATATGCATTCATGTTTGTGTTTTGGCCTTTCAATGGGCGTATATAGGTCCTTCAAACTATAAGATCTTCTATCTTTTGTTTCAAGGTGGTCCCCTTGTTTCCATTGAGTGAAATCATCCTACTTCTAGTACTGGAATTAAAACAAAATGCATCAGGAGCGACCTGGTCTACACTCACTAATGGTTGAAACCTAACGACTGTTGCTCAAGTCAGCTGTTTGTCTCATCCACAATGGCACTCGTCAACAGTCACTCTCACTGGCAATAGATCTAGCCCACATTGGCACTAGACAACTGTGGCTCTTGCCAACACTGGCACTAACTGATGGTAGTGGCACTAGCTGATGACGGCTCTAACCGTCCTAGGATGACTTCTGCTGGTGGCACATGCTGACTCAGTAATGCAATGTCCTGGGAATAAGTCTTTTCCATGTCAACAATCTTAAAGATCCTACAGTTTGGAAGTTTGTCCTTGCTCATTCTGCAACGATTAGTCTCATTTCACCAACAGTCTTGAAAATGACAGTAATGTATGGATGATCACTGGTGTCTCAGAGTTGAGGAAATCAAGCTCTGATACCTCTTATTGGGCTCCAAGACCAAGCTTTCTTGTTGCAACATAAATCTATGCAGTGAAGTCTTGTATGCCATTCATGACCAAATATCAACACTCTGTATGTGTTCGTGAATAAGTGTGAAGTAATAGAAACTACTAAAAAAGCAATCACTAGTCACAATATGGTTCATCTTTATGAGCTATCACCACGGGATAAAGATAAACATCCGCTACAACAATAAAAATTACTAGGTTTGGTGGAATGAATCTTTTTCTTTAAAAGATGTTTTCTCTATTGGGTTGCTTTCTTCTCAATGCTTTCAAGCTCTCTTAAAACGTCTCTCTCTCTCTCTCACTAGAACAAGAAAACTCTACCCATAGTAGGCGGAGCATATGTGCTTCCTAGTTGTACTCCAACTAAAGCAAGTTAAGCATACATTCTTAATTTCTTTAAAATTATATATGAATCTATAACTTTGAATTGCTTTAAATAGGATTCAAGGTAATGCAGACCAGGAGATGTGAGCTGTTGCTAAGAATCATTCAACCGGTGAGGCATAGCAACAGGAGGAATCACTCAATTCCTAGTAGGAAGACTCTTTAACTCCAAATTTGCCATAAAATTGCTATAATAAATAAATTTTTTTATTCAAACTTTGTCAATAGTATTTTTAGCCTCCATACATGACTCTTGTGGCATGTTGATTTCTTGAACTTTGCACAAGATTTGGGAATCAAAAGTTCTAGGTTTTTGTAGCACTGTCGTAATTGACAGAAAGAAGGGCTATAGTAGGAGGAATGTCGTAATTGACAGAAAGAAGGGCTATAGTAGGAGGAATGTCTGGAATTTCAATTTTTCCTGAAAAGTGGATATCGCAGATTCTGTGCCCACATACACCCCCCAACACCCCTGCCCCAATCCCCATGGAAGACAAAGGTTTAGAACTGCTGGATGGATTGCCCCAATCCCCATAGAAGACAAAGGTTTAGAACTGTTGGATGGATTGCGACATCAGTTTCAAATTTGTTTTATTTGTACTTTTTTGTTTAATTTCCTTTCATGAACTTAGATATAAATGACATTTGGAGAATTGTGCGCCTCAATGGGCTCATCTAAAAAGGAAGAAAAAGAAGAAAAAAGGATAAAATCATTATCATCATCTCTTTAGTCCAATTATTTGGGGTTGGCTACATAAATCTTAAAATAATAAAAAAATAATTATTATTTCAAAAAAATAAAATAACCAAAATGCCCCTCAAAATTTTGATGGTATTTTGAACTTTTTCAAAACATATATATTTTATATCCTTTAGAAGTGCATGTGGGCTAGAAGATTAGACGCCCAATTTCCTCTTATACCTATGTATATAGAAATAGATAAAAATTGGAATACTTAGACATGTTTTGAACCGTCCGATCAAAACTTGGACGGCTAAGGTCAATACCCCTTAAGTGAACCACAATGGAGACTCTTGTTTTTTTTTTGAAAATGTTGGACTTATCTTCATCCATTTTTTAATTTTGACATGAAATTGGAACTGTGTGCTCCGTACGGTGTGCATATACAAAAAGAAAAACAAAAAAAAAAAAAAAAAAAAAAAAGGAATAATAATAATAGTAATAATAATAAATAAAATAAAATGACCAAAATACCCTCAAACTGTAAAAGATATTTCTTGCCATTTTATCTTTGAAATATTTTTATGCATTTTATTGGTGCATGAGGGTGAGAAGTAGGAAATTTTACTCCATCTAATATAAAAAATAAAAAAAATTGAGATGATGATATATGCTTCCAACCTACTACATTATTTTTTTTTGTTCTTTATGTGATCTAGACCACCCAAGTTGTTAGATGTACCGTGGATGGGGTATGATTAGGAAATTTCATTTATTGACAAACTTCACCCACTCATCGATGACAACTCTCTAATGAATGTTAAAACTGGCTAATTTTTAAATCTCTAGATTTCTAAAATTCCACATTCAATAAAAACGTGTTCTTATAATTCCTGGATTTCATGACAAGCTATCAAATGTAGAACTTGCTAGCTCCAAACACAAAATGTCCAGCTTTTAGAAGTTGAAATTTTCCAACTCCCTAGGGATTTACAATTATCAAACAGGCCCTTAGAAACTGAAAGACTCAGTCTAGATGCTTCTAAACCCCTCACTGAGTCCCCAAACATAGGCAAGCCAAGTTCACTTTGAAACCCTCAAAACATTGGCTAAAGATAGGCACTAATAGGAAACATGCAAAATTAAATTCATCCCCATGCAAAAACTATTCCAATCGAATTCTAATTCTTATGCAAAATTGCAATAAATTTTCATGCAACAGTGTTGTCACATGTGACAACCATATGCTAACGGGGAGTGTTGATTGAGCCTGGCACCACCCTCTGCAAAATTTTTTTTTGACAAGACTACTTACTTTTTATTGATAATGGAAGCGAAATAATACATCATTCAAAATAAAACAGTCGAAATAACTAATGAATCCAGATTTACCCCTTTTTTACCAAGCCCCTTTAATCTAATTTGCCTCCCTATATACATGTACCAAACAGATCGAAGTACAATAAAAATTAAAGAAAGTACAGTCGAAAGTCAATTACCTAGAAGAGAGGATATGGGGCTTGAGGTAGTTGGTCATCCCCATGATCCCAAGAATTGTGAATTCTTATAGAATTGGGTATGTCTCAAAGGAAAGCAATGGGCAAAGTGAGACATATGGTAATATTCAGTTCAAAGGTAGCAAAGGGAGAACTTTATTTGGTCTTTTTATTTCATGCTCGGCTTTAGAAGGCTTTGGCACCTTCAGGGGGCCTAGTCGGGAATATAAGCTCGATTTAAGACATTCAATCTCAATTTCTCCCCTAAAAAACTTAGGGCGACGGATTTCTTCACCAATGAGGACATACACCAAGGAGATTAATGGCGTTTGGTGCTTTTCGAGATTTGAGTTGCTTTGGCTTTGTGATTGATATGTTTAATGTGTTTTTTATGTTTAATTTTTTTGTAAGAGGTTTGGATTCTCTAGATATGCAGACACATCGATTGTTGATCTTTTTTTGATTGCCCCCACAACGAAATTCGTGTTGGGTATTTGACTGTTAAAAGCTTTATAAGTGGTTGTAATTGAAAAATCTAATGGAATAAGAATCCAGTGGTAGTATGGTATACTAAGCAAACGATGTTTGCTGATACCTGACTGAGCTTGACGTATTAGGTCAGTTAGTTGGAAAAATTTCATGTTACACGGGCATAGAGATTAAACCGATAAGGGTTATAATGGGTCATCTTTTGATGAGGTCGGACTATATCGGATGAGTGAGCCGATAGTCTGTGTGGCTTTTGTATGTGATGAAGGCTTTCAAAGATGGGGCCAAAGCCTCATTCGCGTACCATGGCATGCACATATGATAGCCGTTTCGAGAAAGCAAACCACCTTTTAGGGTGAAGTTTGTGCATGTACGAGAGATTCACCTATGCACCATAGAGCGGTGGTCACATCAAGTCTAGGTAACATTAGTATGTTTATAGGGGAGAACCTAAAATCTGCAAATTTAGATTATGACCCCTTACCCATTGGCCGACTTTAGTGACCCCACAAACGAGCCCCTGCTATAGACTGTGAGTCATAGAAAACGCTAGGTCAGTTTGAGAAAGCAAGTGCAGACCATAGTCCACAGTAGAAGGTAGAGTACCTCAGTATTTATTTATTGGGAAAATATGGGATTAGCCCACTAGCTCATATGAACATATGAGCCCAACATCCCAGATTGAATTTGGGCCGATCTGACGATCACGGATGTCCGACATTGTTTGAATTTTAATTTTTTTTTCTACAAAGCCAAATCACGCAAAATTTTAAGAGTGTATTCATAAAAAATAGATGAATCTTAAAAAAATATCAAAAAAATATTTTACATTAAATAAATTGACCAAAATACCCCTGAAAAGTTTTGGGGGGTATTTTGGTCCTTTTTTGAAATAATTTTTCTTATAGTTTTCTTAGGTACGTCTTGATGAGAAGAACACACACCTAATATTTCAAATGATTTGGATCTGTAGAAAAATAAATAAAATTCAAGCACTTCTAGACATCTATGATCGTCAAATCGATCCAGATTCAATCTGGGCCGTTGAGCTTATATATTCATATGAGCTAGTTGGCTAATCCCATATTTTCCCTTATTTATTTATTTATTCCTAGACCATATGGATCCTTTTTCCTATAAAAAATATCTAATTATGTTTGTTTAAATATTATGTGATTTTGAGAAATGTTATTTGAATTTTCTTAATCTTGAGGTATTTTATTTATGAAATTTGGATCTATAAAAATAAATATATTGATTTTACACTGATTTAATTATTCAAATATAATTTTATGAATTTCTAAAAATCATACTATTATTTTAAAATAATTTAATATTGGACCCAAATATGTATATGGGCCAACCATGGCAATTTGGTAGGGCCCATGAAGAGCCATCTAGGGTAGCGCGCCCCACCTTATGGA